TATATATATATATATATATATATATATATATATATATATATATATATATATATATATATATATATATATATATATTGCAATCTCTGCGGAAAGATGATGACAGTACTATCGTGACGGCGCAAGTTTTGTAGGAAAACTATGGAGCAAGGACGTAGCAGCTTTACCTTAATGAGCTTTCTTCTGAAATAGCCCAGTAATGTCTCAGAAAAAAAGAGCAATTTGTCGGAGTTTGGTTCCCTGGAAGGAGGCACCGTGCCGCCTCACCGAAAAACAAACGACCTTCTCAGAATTCAATTTCACGTCGCTGCTCCGGCTAATGCGATCTCAGAAAGTGAAGAACCTTAACGAGCCTCTTTTCGACATTCAGGGCTCTTCGATTCGGTGCCGGAGGCGGCATTCTCAAAGAGAAGGTATTGTGATTCGCGCAGTATAGTTTGTTGTGTATTTTTTTTTCATGTGATTGCATTTTAGGTTCAGTGATTCTCTTCTTCAGGGTTGCAATAACGATATTGTACCGTCTATTTTTTTAGATAGTTGCACCCCTACTGAATGACTTATGTACTTATTTGTTGTAGCTTTCTTCTTAAGTTGGAAATAAAAAAAACTAGAAGAAAGTATAAAAAAAAAACCTTCAAGGTGTGTTTGATAACGCGCATTTCGTACTGGAAGGGATTTCGTTTCCGACATATTTATCGCCCTAATAAAGGCCCCTCAACGAGTGAGGCGATTGAATGTAAAGTTCAAGTGCTAGTGTAAATTCGTAAGTGCATGTCACTCAGTGTATCGCGCATGCTCCATACGTATGCTTGAAAATTAGATGTCTAAACTCAAGTGGCAAACGTCCCTTCAACAATAGAAAATGTTTTTGAAACACTGAAAAAGTCTATTTATTTTCGGATCTATTTGGCCAACACTTTCATAAGGTGACCGATGAACTATTTAAATCAGGGAAGACCATTTTATAGGCCCAGCTCTCAAAACGGGAAACTTACATGAAAACAAAGACTCTCATAAATTAACACACGTAGAAGAAATAAGCATTGTGAGCGGCATTCACTGTGCAATTAACCATGGATGTACCTTTTCAAATGGTTTATGTGCTTTGTTGTTTCATTAGCTCTCGTTTTGTGAACCGTATGTGTTCCTTGCTTGGACGAGATACGTTATCTTCTGTATTTGGCTACTTTTCGGAGAGAAACCCTACTTTGTCCTGAAGACTGACAATACCTTGTCGTCGCATTCCCACTGTAGAAATTATACATGATGGTTTGTAAATTTAGCTTGCCATTTTTTTCTTTTTATACTGTAATGAGAGAGAATTGTAGTTTGTTCATAGGCTTCTTACCACTCCCATTACTGTTACTTACCAGAGCCCTTCACGGGAAGGACAGTGCTGGTAATGACACATTGTTCTGTTTTGTCCAACTATACAGTCACTTTCCAAAACTTTGTTGTAGCGTTGGTTATCATGTTTTAATAAAATAATGAAAGTAATCGAACATAATAATTACCGTACATTCGCGAGCAAACCCCATTCTTACGTTGAAAAATAATTAAAGAGGTTTTGGAGGGTGTACCGGGGAGGCTTGCCTGGTCAGGGAGCAAAACTTAAGATAGCTGAGGAAGTGCTATTAAGACAAAGTAATGCACACCTGTGCTTCCAATGTAATACTTTATTGATTATGCAAGCATTACTTCCTTTAAATATCGTGAAGGAAAGAGTGAAACTGACTAAAGGAGAGGGAGGGAGTAGATGATGCGCACTGCGTACCTCTCTACAAAAAAAAACAGGCGGGGGGGGGGGGGGGTGCGGATTTCGCTGTATTTGACTCAAAGTGTTCCGCTCTAATAGCTGAGTAAATCGTGTAAGTTATTGAAATACTAGCTTTATGTTTGTCTGGCTTGTTTCAGTGTAAATAGCAACCGCCACCAGCGTTGTCCATCTTCTAGTTTTGCGGCATACGCAGGAAAAAAATCTACAGACCAACTAATATTCTCCAATCACTGGTTACGTGGAATAAAGCAAAACTCTTCATTCGCAAAATAATGAATATGTCGGTACAAACTCACAAAGATTCTTTATTATAGGTACTTTTTTCCCTTTACTATTAAGCATTGCAATTAATTGCGTCCTTCGTTTTCTTGATTGCGATTGGATCCTAAAACATCGCAAGAGGAAAAAGTTTTTCTGAATAAATGCTTTTTTTAAAGCCTCACAGCTATTGAGCAGCACCATTGCATTCAGTTAAGTTCAAAATACAGCAGCAGTCACATAAGGCGATCGTAAGCGAAGCATTGAGCCATCCAAAATTTATGAGAGCAGAAAAACAGCAAGCGTTAAAAGGCAACAGTATATAATAAGACGCACATCAGATGTGCTTTACCTTTAGAAAAATTAACTAAAAAGATTATAAGGTGTTCTGCTAGTATTGAGCGTTATTTGAGAACTTGTGGATGTCAGCTTGCAGTAACGCACAGCCACACACACAAAAAAAGTTATGTGCTATCGAAAGGTGGAGGAATGTCGCTAAGCGAGTTGTTGAGATATTTACTCCAGCCTTTCGTGACCACTTACGCAGCACCAGAAATACATCATAAGCCCCCACCAGAAAAGTAGTTAACCTTTTTAGCCTTTTTAGATTCATGTATACCTTAACGGCAGAGATAAAGAAACAAAAATAATTTGCTTTCGTGGCGGCTCTACGTAATTTATGGTGCCTTCGGGGCGCGTCGGCTTGACTCTAGAACTTTTTTTAAAGCGCCGTAATTTATAATTCGATACCTTGAAGCTATCAAAATCCAGGTCTGTACTTTTCTGCTACTTTTTGTCACTGTTCGCATTGTGTGGTGCATTGACATGGAGTGCGGTAGAGGAGTAGCGAAGAACGAACCCGAGCGAAAATAATATAAATATACTTCTAACCTATTATATTGTCAACTGCGATGCTAGGAAGTTACTGTTGATTGATTGATTGATATGTGGGGTTTAACGTCCCAAAACCACCATATGATTATGAGAGACGCCGTAGTGGAGGGCTCCGGAAATTTCGACCACCTGGGGTTCTTTAACGTGCACCCAAATCTGAGCACACGGGCATACAACATTTCCGCCTCAATCGGAAATGCAGCCGCCGCAGCCGGGATTTGAACCCGCGACCTGCGGGTCAGCAGCCGAGTACCTTAGCCGCTAGACCACCGCGGCGGGGCAGGAAGTTACTGTTGCAAGTTCTCACAGGCCTCAGGGAAGTCGAAGTGCAGAACGGCGCTGCAGTTGTGCTCAACCTTGGTGTTTAGGTTTGGCAAATGCTTCCACTAAGTAAACGTGCAATAGTTTTTTTTTCTGCGAGAGTGGGCATCATATCAGATAACGTTTTGAAAATGGAGTAGGAAGTAACAATTAGCAATAAAACGTTTCGATAATATATATATATACATTATCTGAGTTCCCGTTCTACGCAAACGTGGTGGCCTCATTTTTATTTCGCCTCAACAAATGAATTCATCCCTAAATAAACATTTCAGTAATCACTCAGCAGAAGCGTTGGACTTTGTAGAGCGCCGTGATAGGTACTGAGTTAAATAAATGTGACTTTTTGAAATGTTTCTAATCTGCTTCGAAGTCTAATACACAAGCATTTTTCTTTATTACATGCAATAAATACTGGCTGCTGGAGCCGCAACCGGATCCACAACTTGAACAACGCAGCACCGCAAAAGAATAACTTCGGTGATATGTTTACACGCATAAAAAATTATGCCTAATATATACCCCTAAGAGTGCATACTATAAACTAATGTTTTCTGCTGCAAGCCTCTTAAGGCTGTCAATTGCCGCTTTGAGTCTGTTCTAAGCTGCTGCGAACACAGATACGGAGCTAGGTACTACTATTTGAATTGAGAAGTACACTCACCAATGCATAGCCTATTGAGCTTCTAGTTTCCCTTATTCGCTTACTACTTTTTGAGGAAATAAGTTTGAGCAGGACTCTTCAAGTTATCTTGTGAAAAAACAGAACTTGGGTGATGTGTTATTCGAAACGATTCGTGCCCCGCGGTTTTCGGAGGTTGGGGGGTGGAAGAGGAGACGGATGCGTTGTCATTACAGAAACAGTGACTAGATACGGAGAGAAAACTACAAGCCTATAACATACGTGCATTCATTCGACGGATGATATTACTCCGCAGCGTCAATAACCGGCTCGGTGTTATGGGCAATTCGCTGTGAACGTCATGGTATTCCGAGCTTTCGGCGTTCTCTCACACACTCAGATAAGGTAGAATTTCGCTGAGACTTAACTGTGTTACTTAGAATGCCGAACTCCAAGCAGTATCGTAATGGTCCGTTTTATTTGGTCATCATTGTGATATTTCCACTTCACGACGGGGGTCACCTGCAAACCGATTCTGCGAATTTGTTTTTCGGAAATTGTTGTATGACTATTATAGGGAATAAAAACATGTTGTATGATCATACGAGGTGCAATATACATATATATGTGTATTTTTTCACACCGTGATGGCGCTTCAAACAGTTTCACCAATTGATATCGCATTGTTCTAGTGCCGATACACAGATTTATTAGGTGTGACATTCAAAAGATGAATATTGGCCGGTAATCATGCTGCATGTTTATAGGCTACTACAATAGTTCAAGTACTTTATGAAACTATTTAATATATTCTTTTCATGTGCCGTGGGTACATAAAATACAGCGCCTCATTAGCGCTCAATTCTGAGGCTTATTTTTTATCAGGCACGTGCTGGCCAACGCAATAGGGCATCAAACAAGGAACCTCAATTCAGCACCCAGAAACCCACGGATCATATCCTCAAGAGTAGAAATTATTAATGACCAGTACTAATAAAAACTGAATTTTCATTTGTACTTTCTAATCAATGCACCCATTGCGTAAATCTTGCTTTAAGGAAATCTGTTTTAAGTAGGGTACAGAAATTTCGACAATTATCCGGGCAAAACATTTTCTATATCGACACTCACCGATTATGCACAAGAGCATCCAAACGGCCACAACGGCGGCAGCAGACTTCACGATGCCACAGTATCCCAGTCGCATGGCTCTAAATGTGAACAACACAAGCGTGCGTGCAGAGAGAGAACTGAACTGGCTGCGCAGTTTCAATGTTTTTCGGGCAGTAAAGACGCCCTATCCTTTGTCTTCGGCGTTGTCGACCGCGGTCGTACAGCGAGATCAACGAAGACGAGCGAGGCGGGAATTGCCCGGCAATGAGCAGGCAATCCCGTAAGGCCGCATATTCGCCGGGCGCGCGCGTGTGAAACGCGGGGCCGCGAGGGAGCAGTCGCGACCACCGCCGCCTGCTGAAATGAAAGACGGAGAGACGCCGCACCGGGCCAGGACCGCGCTCGGTTCTCGGAGTGCCCGCTAGGCGAGGCGAGCCCATCGACCCGCGCGAGGGAGAGCCGGCCGACGAAGTCGAATTTGAGTGGGGTGCCGTGGCTGCGCCAATATAACCCGAGCGCGTGATGTGTCTTGCCAGTGACAGCAACAGTCGACTCTGTCTCGGTTTGTATTTCTACAGGAAGAAGCCGACCACTAAATAAGCAGAATGTTTTGCCTGCATTGTGAGATTTCTCTCCGAGAAAACATTACACGCCACAGTGTCTCGTTAATTCGCTTAGAATGAAGCTGATGGCTTGACGAAGTGGGAGAGACCTAACCAGCCCTATAAGATCCCAAACCAAGCGACAATGAATTCAAGGAAAGTATAATTGCATTATTCGTAGGAATGTGGTAGTTCTGATATTAGTATGAAGAAAATAAAGTGGACGAACAGGCAACTTTCTGGTGGTACGAGCTAATCATGGGACTTTCAGAGAACGCACCCAACGCTCTCAGTTTACGTGCTGTAGTACACTTTAATTTTTTACATTTAAGCTTAAGCAAGTGATGTTCGGTGCTATGACTGACGAGTGTGCAACACTTTAAGTGCGTAGTGCTTCATGGGCTCAGCTTGTCGTTCATCCATAAAACTCGAGTGGCGTGCTCACACTTGTTTTTTCTCATTTGTTTCTATAATAACATACAGTAAAAAGAACACGTTGGTAACATCTGGATCCTTAGCAGAATGCTAGTATGGATCCATGCGACAGGAGATATACTTGTACAATGAACAAAATTTTAGTTTAAGATGCGCAGATTGCTTTGATAAACATATCACATATACACAGATGCCGAACACATTAAAAAAAGTCCACCTTATACAGGTCACTCGGAACAAGTTTTTTTTGCTTTGCATACTTGACATAATACATCTAATATTCCTGTACATTTGGATATAGCATTCCTAGTCAGCATACAAAACATTAGTTTAAGATCATGTCTCTTTGCATCATTTCACGAAACCTATCAGTAGTCTACTAGAGCTCTTTGTAATGACGTTTGAGCATTAATGTGAAAGCATTGTGTTGTTTCACTTCCACTGGTAGGTTATTCCACATAACGTACCAGCACTATAAAGTCGTATTTTACCATAAACAGTTTTATTCTGTGGTTTTAGGAAGTTACCAATATGACGGGCTCTTGTTTGCAATTTTGAACTGATATAAAGGGAGCGGTGAATAGGGATATTGCATGTTAGAGACTTGTACACCGTGATTGTTGTTTTATAATTCATGACTAGTCGTAGAGGCATTACCTGGTACTGTCAAAAAAGTGGTTTAGATGAGGTCATATAGTTTGCGTTTGATATAAATCGAATAGCACGTTTTCGCAGGACTATAAGTGGCTTTAGGTATGAGTCGGATGCATGGCCAGGATACTCAATACAGTACGAGAGGTGGCTAGGAAATAGGGCAAAATATATTGTTCTTAAAGTTTCCGAACCGAAGTACTGGCGACATTTGAAAAGAGTATAGCAGACCAACGCGAGTGTTTCGCCGAGTCTAATTGCATTTTCCAGCTAAAATGATGATCCCACAATATTCCAAGGTAGTATGTTAAGCTATTTACTCTTTCTATTGTATCACTCCCAACCTGAAGCAAAGACAAATCCAAAGCAATATCTTTGTACGGCCGATTAACTACCATATATTTTGCTTTACTAACGTTGAAAGCCAGATTATTCAGTTTATTGGCTTCAAACCAATCGCAGATTTGTTTCAATTTTTTTATTGTCATGCTTAAGGCTTCATCGATGAACTTGCGTGCGTAAATAAGAGCAGTGTCATCAGCGTACAATACTGAGGTGAAGTTGTGTAACTTTAAAAGGAAGTCATTCTTGTACAGAGAGAATAAAATAGGTCCCAATGCTCATCCCTGCGGTACTCCCGACGTAATGGGCAAAAATCCTGAATTAGTGTTGCAAAATTAATCGTTTGTTGTCGGTTCGTAAGGTAGCCTCTCAAAAACTCCAGACTTATCCATCCTGTGCCATACCATTCTAATTTGTTGAGTAGTAGATCATGATGAACGGTGTCGAATGCTTTTGTAACGTCAATAAAGACACCAATCACGATTGTGTTGTTGATTAGGTAGAAATTGACCATATCTGAAAGAAATAGCACTGCAGTGAAAGTGGACCGATTGCTCTGAAACCCTGTTGGGTAGCTGTTAGTACAGACTCTCGATTGAGAGAACTGAGTAGCCATTTCTAGATAAAATTTTCTAACACTATATTTATAGAACTAAATACAGATATTGGGCGGTAGTTTTCGGGAAGGCGACGGTCTCCTTTTTTGTGAAATCAATTGACCTTTGTGATTTTCAGCAAATCTGGGTAAGTTAACGTGTGAAATGCGTGACTAAACATTTTTGCTAGAGGAGTACATAGAATGTCTATGAGGTTTTTAAGTATGAATGGTGATATCTCATCGCACCCGGCACTATGTTTTCATGACATAGCGTTAATGCGAGTTACGATTTCCGCAGGAGTTGTATCGATGTATCCAAAGGAATTGACAAATATATCCGGAACCGTATCCGACTTACACATCACGGCAGGAATTCGCAATTTTTTAGGAATATAACTAAAGTACTGATTGAATGTCGCTACCAACAATTGTGCTGATATTCTGATTATATCTGCATCAGCAATAACGTATTGATTAGGAATATGTTTTATAACAGAGTTTATAATTTTACACGTTATCTTTGGATTTCGACAGTGTTTGTAATAAGCTCGGAATAATAGTGTTTTTCACAATTACAGGTAAGCTGCGTTACCTTGTTGCGGGCCACCCAAACTTTTTTCACAGTACAAGTTGCCCTTATATTGTTTTACTTTTGTGTGCCAATAGTCATTTTTCTTTACTCATAGTAAGATATCTTTGGTCATCCAAGGACAAATTGGCGCATGGTGATACCTTTTATGTACGGGATTTTGGATTGTGTAATCGCTTCCATTATCTTATCACTTAGTGTGGCATATTGCTGATAAGAGCCACCAGAGTCAAGTATACTGTCAGCACTTTCTAATAGGCGTTGTTTTAAACTGCAAAGATTATTTCTATTGCGGTACATGGTGGGTGTGTTCCTAATATTTTCAGATAAGGGAAAGAACATGGCCGTTGCATAATGATCTAAGATTACTGTATGATAGATGTTGCACTAACTGGTTGTAGTGTCGAAATTTCAAAGTATATGGTGAATTGAAGTTCATGAATTACGTGTTGCCCTGGTGGGTCTTGTAATTACGTTATGGAACCCATAAGAGTTACATTATGAAAACCTTACTTGCAAGTGTTCAACAGAGCCAGGAAGCATTGAAAGTGCTCAAAAACGAGTTGAAACAAATGAAGGAGGCCCAACATAAAATACGTAACAGAATTATTGACTGAAACTTCATGACAATTAACTTGAAACCACTACTTATGCTTCGGAGCTATGTGGTTGACTCCTGCGCTGCGCAAGAGACGGCACCATCATCTCGAAGAGCACATGATTGCTCATCGACTTGCACAGTGGCAGCGCTTGGTCACCTCATCTGAAAGCGGAAACAACTTCACGGAACTTGCTGAAGACCCCACCTACCTCAACAGCTGTAATATGCAGAAAGTTGGTGAAGAGCATCAAAAAGTAGTGCGCATGTTACACCGACTTTGCGAATCTACTTAAAAGAACAATTAACACAATTGGCGACAACTGACAAAAACTTACAAACTCAACTCGGCCGATGCGACTGTTTCGATAAACGAAGTAATTGTTTCGTGTATTTGAACAGTCAGCTGTATATTCAGTAGATTGCCAGCAACCGGCTTGCGCTTCGGATGCATGCCAACGCGAGCCGTGATGTCAAAATCGTCGAGGTGTATGCAGCATGCACGTGTTTCTGTCTTTCTCTTCCTGTTCTTCACGTCTCCTTTCCAATCCAATTCTATCCAATTCAAATCAGAATTTCGTTTTCGCATTGTCCAAAGCCCAATACAGTGCGATGTTCATGCCAAAATAGGAAATGAGAGAAAAAGCTGCACATGCGCTGCTTGACTTGGCTCTGGTCTCCGGTACACCAACAGTGACAGTACAAAGCATATCGGTATCAAAAATAGTATTCTACACAATGTTGTAACGAAAAACGAAAAATACCAAACATCAATACAGATCAACAGTAAAAAGCTGTGTATATTGAGAAAAAAACTGCAAAAGAAAGAAACTACTCCTAAAATCTATTAAGGAAATTATAAGTTGCTCCATACATTCTTATGAAGAAATATATTACAAAAAGAGATCCAACAAGCTTTCATTAGTACTGTTTAACCATCAACATTTTTTTTCAGTTCATTAAGGGTGAATAGGAGTACACTGATCAAATTTTTCTTCCCCATAATGAGTACGCGCGGAAGAAACGTGATATAGAAGGTGATACCTGAAAAGATAGGAAATTTTATTTGCTCGAAGATTCCCTATTGCTTTAAATAGTTCTATTCTTTCTAATATAGCATTTCTATATGTTCTTAGCAGTTTATGTCTGCATATGTTGTGAATTTTCATGAATCTCATGTTTTTGAAATAAATGTGTGTTTCAGATACGAGGAGTTTTCTATTGTTCACAGCGCTCATTCTGGACCAAGAATATTTGCTGTAAGTATTTTTGCTAAGTATAATATAGGTGTGAGTTAGAAAGGGCTTAAGATAACATTCTTTATAGCTAACAAAAAATGTGGTGGTTCCGATTTAATACCCCAGTTGCTCTGCGTAATTTTGGCAACAGAGCTTTCACGTGGTCATTCTGGGACATAATTTCTGAAAAGGTTACACCAAGAATGCTGATCTTCTTCTTCATTTCTATTTGAAATGACCCAAGAGTTATACAGTCTTCCATTTCCTCTCAAATTCCGGGGGCACGAAACAACACACATTT